ACCTCCTTTTATATCTCTTTACCGTCCTGCATTTATAATATAATTATCTTAGATATTTTCTCTACATACATTTAGAACTTCATCAGACAGAGTTATAAGTTTGTTTCAACCATCAGATATAATTTAGAAGACCCAAGAGGAGGACAGTCTGATGTATTTACCCAGATTTTTGCTTTTTGTGTTCTTTCTTCCTTCTTGATGTTCCAAGATTCCTTCTTTATTTATTTTCTGTTTAAAATGCTTCCTCTGGCCAGTTTTTTAGAGCAGGTCTTCTGGTGACAAACTTAATTTTCCTTTATCTGGGAATCTCTATTTCTTTCCCCTTCATTCCTACAGGATATTTTTGGTGGATATAAGATTCTAGTTGGACATAATCCTTTTCTTTTAGCTCTTGAAAGGTGTTGTGCCCTTTCTTCCTTTCTCTCTTTCTCTCTCTCTCTCTTTCTCTCTTTCTCTCTCTCTTTCTTATTTTTCTTTCTTTCTTTCTGACAGAGTCTCGCTCTGTCACCCAGGCTGGAGTGCAGTGGTGCGATCTCTGCTCACTGCAACCTCCGCCTCCTGGGTTCAAGTGATTCTCCTGCCTCAGCCTCCTGAGTAGCTGGGATTACAGGCGCGCACTACCACTCCTGGCTAATTTTTGTATTTTTAGTAGAGACAGGATTTCACCATGTTGGTCAGGCTAGGCTTGAATTCCTGACCTTGTGATCTGCCCCACCTCGGCCTCTCAAAGTGTTAGGATTACTGGCGTGATCCACTGTGCCCGGCCTGTGCCACTTCTTTCTAGCCTCCATGGTTTCTGATGAGAAATCCTGTCATTTGAATTGTTTTCCCTATAGGTAAAGTGTCACTTTACAACCATTGCTTTTAATTTTCTTTGATTTTGTTTTTCAGAAGCTTAACTATCATATGTTTTGGAATGGATTTCTTTGAGGATATCCTCTGGATTCACTCAGCTTCTTGAATTTTTGGGTTTGGTCTTTTACCATATTTGGGAAGTTTTTAGCTAAGTACTTTTTCAACTACCCTCTTTATTCTCTGCTTCTTTTATTTTATCCATTTATATGTTTGTGAAATCTTTGATTATACTGTCACGTGTCCCCTGAGGCTCTGTTCATTTTTTATTTTCTTTCTGTTCTTCAGATTGGTTAATTTCTGTTGTTCTGTCTTCAAATATACTGATTCTCTGCCCCTCCATTCTGCCATTGAGCCTATCCATTGAACGTTTTTTGATTTTTTTAACAAATTTCTATTTGGTACTTGTTTACATCTTCAGTTTTTGGCTGAAACATTGTATTTTGTGACTCACTTTTAAAAATTTGTCTCTATCATGTTCTTAATTGCTCATTTAAATTGTTTGGGCCAGGTGCGGTGGCTTACGCCTGTAAGCACTTTGGGAGACCAAGGCAGGCAGATTGCTTGTACTCAGGAGTTCAAGACCAGCCCAGCCAACATGACGAAACCCCATCTCTATTAAAAATACAAAAACTAGGCTGGGTGCTGTGGCTCACGCCTTTAATCCCAGCACTTTGGGAGGCTGAGGCGGGCAGATCATTTGAGGTCAGGAGTTCTAGACCAACTTGGCCAACATGGTGAAACCCCGTCACTACTAAAAACACAAAAATTAGCCAGGTGTGGTGGCACACGCCTGCAGTCCTAGCTACTCTACTCAGGAGGCTGAGGCAGGAGAATTGCTTAAACCCAGGTGGTGGAGATTTCAGTGAACTTGAGATCATGCCACTGCACTCCAGCCTGGGCAACAGAGCGAGAGGCTGTCTCAAAAAAATTATAAAAACTAGCTGGGCGTGGTGGCGTGCGCCTGTAGTCCCAGCTACTCAGGAGGCTGAGATTGGAGGATCACCTGAGCCCTGGAGGTTAAGGCTGCAGTGAGCAGTGATCGAACCACTGCACTCCAGGCTATGCGACAGAGTGAGACCCTGTCTCAAAAAAAAAAATGAAATTGTTTGATGATGACTCCGTTCACATCCTAGGTGATTCTAACATCTTGGTCATCATGGTATTGATGTCTGTCGATTGTCTTTTCTCATTCACTATGAGATATTTTTGGGTCTTGTTATGAATTATAGTTTATTGAAACCAGGACATTTTGGGTATCATGAGAGTCAGGATCTTATTTAAATCTTCTGTTATAGCAGACCTTTTGTAGACACTGTTCCCCACTGTGGTGGGGGAAGGGGAGGGCCCAACCTTGTTATTGCTGGCAGAGGTGGAAGTCCTTCTCCCACTCAAGTATCCACTGTTACTGGGGTTAGGGGAAGGGGCTGATGCATTACCTCCCAGAGAGGAGGACATTTTGGATTCCCTCTTGGGCCTTCGCTGAAACCTCTGGGATGGGGTTGGGTGCTAGGGCCCATTACAGCCTGGTGAGGGCGGGGTCACAGTGTTTTCTCTGGTATTTGGCTGTAGTAGAGCAGTTTTTGTCTAAAAGTTTTTTGTCTTGATAGGCTACCTCTTTCCTGGTCTTTTGATAGAGAGCAGCTTTTGTCGGGCTTTTGTTATCAAATACACCTCTTCAAGTTTTGGGGTTGTTGGTTCTTCTGCTCCAAGTCTGCGGTATTTGAAGCAAAAAAGAAACTCCAGGGAACTCCTTGGTGTATTTTGCCTTGAGACGTCCCTAGCCGGTGTGCCTTATTCTCTCCACCTTTCGGAGTTGTCTTATGATCGTTTTGCATATAACGTCTAGGATTTTTAGTTGTACTTACTGGGGGAGTAGGGAAGAATATGTCTACTCCACTTTCACAAAGCACTCATCTATAGATTTAGTTTCTCAGATAGCTAAAGAACTAAAAGTGTACCAGCAGTTCTGAGGCTCTAGAACTATGAACTCAGGATGATAGAAGTGAAAAACCATCACATGGTGAGGTCAGGGGATATCTGTAGGCCCCTACTTCACAGGGTCTTCATGCTGAAAGATGGCAACCAATATGCAGTCCTTATCTGGGGGCATACACTGGACTGATTAGTTTCACAATCAAAATATTTCCCAACAAAATGTGCATTGTTATTCTGGTCCCCAATCAGCTGCACCTGGCCTGAGTTTTTTAGTCAGGAAAAATTTCTCAAAGATGATTCTGTTTTTCCTCCATAAATACTATAGGGCAATTGCCTGAAAGCCGGGCCATAAATGGCAAGAGCCTTGTACTTCACCTAGGCCCAAGTGGTTGCTGTGCCTTCAGTGTTGACAGACTAACAGGAGGGAATGGGTCGGCAGGCTTAACTAAGCCACTACTACCATCACCACCCTCCAGGTTAAAAAAAAAAAAAAGCCAGATTTGCTTTGTTTTAATAAAACAAACAGGGCTTGGAAAATATAGAGTTTGCTTGTAAGACTTAAAAAACAAAACAAGGGCGGGCGCCGTGGTTCACGCCTGTAATCCCAGCACTTTGGGAGGCCGAGGCAGGCGGATCACGAGGTCAGGAGATCGAGATCATCCTGGCTAACACAGTGAAACCCCGTCTCTACTAAAAATACAAAAAATTAGCCGGGCGTGGTGGTGGGTGCCTGTAGTCCCAGCTACTCGGGAGACTGAGTCGGGAGAATGGCATGAACCTGAGAGGCAGAGCTTGCAGTGAGCCGAGATCGCACCACTGCACTCCAGCCTGGGCGACAGAGCGAGACTCCGGCTCAAAACAAAACAAAAAAACCTCTCCTAAAGCATTAGATAAATAAAGGCTGTAGTTCCCAAACTATGCTTGAATCAATCTCCTTGGGAGAATCGTGGACCCACCCTGAGACTCACTGAGTCGGTACCAGGGTTGGAGCCTCGAAACAAGCCTTTTTATATATCTCCAAGGAGATCAAAATACACAATTGTGTTTGCAAACTACCATCTTTAATCCTGTGCTGGACCCTTACGTCTCACAGTGGCTCCTTTTAGTCTTAATTTGGCCAGGAAACAATGAGAACATTTCATCAGGTCCAGTCAGATGTTGGAGACTTTGCAGAATACCGGTTCATTGTGCATTCCTGGAGCCTGAGAAAATGCTGATGTAAGGTATTCAAGTGCTAGTGACTCTTGAACTGTGCTTTTTGCTGTACTGTAGCTGATATATTATGTCAGGAGAGATGCCAAACTGGATAAAAGAATGTATGGTGTCATTTGATAGTCTTCCTCTTTGATACAACAAGATGAAACAAGCATATAATGCCAGGGAAAGAGCTCTTCCAGCATTATTCTTTCTCAAACTGAGATGCACTTTCATGTGAGGTGGTGTCTTCCCCCACAGTGCTGCAGCCAATATTAGTGCTTACTTAGTTGGTTCCCACTGAGTGATTGGAGTCGGGAGAAGGGAGGGTTACACCTGTGACTGCTGAGTATTGCCTGCAGAATGGGCTCAGAACGCACAGTTCAGGAATTTCAGAAGAGGACGTCCTTAATCCAAGGCCGGTGGCTGTTTGCACGCTGCTGTACTGCCCAGTGGTGCACCCCTGCCTGGAGCTCCAACAGACCACTTGACTTCTGGTGACGGTTTCTCCCTCACTTCTTAGTCCCCCTCTCCCAGCTCTTTGACATTCACCACATACATATATTATTGTCATACGATCTGTTCTTCTATATCAGTTCTTCATTTTCTGCTTTAATTCCTCCTTAACTATTGTATTGATTTTTGATTGACTTACCCAGTACCTTTTCATGGACCTCTCTTCCCACCCCCAAAATTGGTTATCTTTGGGACCTTGAAATAAATTTGTCTCTAAATTATGAATAATTGGTGTACGTAACTAACATATGCATAATATGAATTTTATTGTGACTTACCTGTCATACTCTAACATCCTCAGCTTCTATTTATTGCTAAAGTTTGTGTTTCTGGCTGTAAAATATTACTTATTTCACATATATCAGGGGCTTTTTATATGATTTTTTTCTTCTCTTTTTGCTCCCTTGGGGAGTTCCTTCCCCTTTCCATAAACTGTGGTCCCTGCGTGGCTGTGCCCCATCCCTCCTCATCGGGCTTGTCCTGCCCACATCGCCCTGCAGGATTCTATGGCCTGGACGAGTCTGACCTCGACAAGGTTTTCCACTTGCCCACCACCACTTTCATCGGGGGACAGGAATCAGCACTTCCTCTGCGGGAGATCATCCGTCGGCTGGAGGTAAGAACAGTTTCTGGAAAAATCTAGTGGACTTTTTAAGAACTTGTATTAGCAGGATGGCTTTGAGGCTAGTTTTATTTTTTTTCTTTGTCCTTTTTATTTTATTTTTTCTCTGAGACAGAGTTACTGTCACCCAGGCTAGAATGCAGTGACACAGTTGGGCTCACTGCAGCCTCAACCTCCCAGTCTCAAACCATCCTCCCACCCCAACCTCTCGTAGCTGGGACTGCTGGTACACACCACCATGCCCAGCTAATGTAGTTTTTCATTTTTTATTATAGAGATGAGGTCTTACTGTGTTCCTCAGGCTGGTCTCAAATGCCTGGGCTCAAGTCATCCTCCTACCTCAGCCTCTCGAAGTGCTGGGATTACAGGCATGAACCAGTCCTGTCTTTTTTAAAATTGTAAGGAAGGAGGGCATTTGTTGTTGTTGTTGTTGCCATTTTATAGATAGAAACCAGTGGTTTTGCGATCACCCAGATAGGGGAAGTAAACTCTGCTTTCAGATCCCACTAGGAGTTTATTACAGATGGTAGAAGAGTCACCTCAACCCTGAGGGACAGGCCTCAAGTCAAGGGTGGCTTCCTGCACAGCTCACTGCCAGGGCTGCTGAGTGGTGGCCACTCTTCTTCTTCCCTCTCTCCCTCTGTTCCTCTCATCCTTCTGTTTTGTTTCACTTTTTTCCTTCTCTCTGGACTCTGTTAGTACTAAGCCTGCCAGGGATTTCTTTCATGCACACACCTTATAGACAGTGGCTAAGAGTTGTGGCTGTGCTGTTAGGCCACCTGTGTCTAGTTCTTCCATCCTGGGCAAGTCATAGCCTCCCTCAGTATAAGGGTGACTTCCATGCCCATTGCAGAGGGGAGAATGGATTTGATGAGAGGTCCATGCCAAGAGTTGGCTATTACTGTTACTTAATGCTGTTCCTGGTATTCAGAGCTAAAGGATCCAGGTTAAAATAAACTGAGGAAATACTCTGGAATGGAACCCTCAGAATTGAGCATATAAATCACCTGAGGTCCGCCTGTCATGCACAGTCTGAATCCTGACGTCCCTAACTAACCCAAGTTGAACCACACTGGCCATCAGGGCTCTCTGAGGCTGTTCCTCTCATGGCTGGACGCATTAGAACCACCTGGAGAGCTTACAGAACTGATACCCAGGCCACAGCCCAGGTCCCCTAAATCAGAATCCCCCTAGCACCCCAGGGATTAACCCTTGCTGCAGCAAGTGAATTTTAATTTAAAATTCTCTTGTCAGTGTTTCCACAATTGGCTGCATGTGGCTTAAAAAGATCTGAGTGTCCAGGCCAGGCACGGTGTCTCACACCTGTAGTCCCAGCACTTTGGGAGGCCGAGACAGGTGGATCACAAGGTTGGGAGTTCAAGACCAGCCTGGCCAAGATCATGAAATGCTGTCTCTATTAAAAATACAAAAGTTAGCCAGGTGTGATGGCGGGTTCCTGTAATCCCAGCTACGTGGGAGACTGAGGCAGAGAATTGCTAGAACCCGGGAGGGGGAGGTTGCAGTGAGCAAAGATCACACCACTGCACTCCAGCCTAAGCAACAGAGCAAGACTCCATCTCAAAAAAAAACCTGAGTGTCCAATGCTGGCACTTTCTATAGTTTATGATGAGCATCCTGAAGTATTGTCAGCATCTCATCTTGGAGCTGCTTCACCGCCTGCCTTCCTCACTTGTTGGGGAGAAAGGGGTGGAAACTAGAACTGTGTGCCAGCATCAGAAGCTTGTGGCTAATGGGATGTATTGGGCACCAGGAGGGAGTGATAAGGCTTAATCCAAGAAGAATGAACCTTTGGGTCCTTCCTGTCGCCTTTATCTGCACCCGCATGACCACACTGACGATAGTTTCTAGTTCTGCCTACTAAGCCACTTGTTACTATTGAGCACTTGAAATGTACAGAATATTTGAATGACTTTTTTTTTTTTTTTTTTTTTGAGACGGAGTCTCGCTCTGCCGCCCAGGCTGGAGTGCAGTGGCCGGATCTCAGCCCACTGCAAGCTCTGCCTCCCGGGTTTACGCCATTCTCCTGCCTCAGCCTCCCGAGCAGCTGGGACTACAGGCTCCCGCCACCTCGCCCAGCTAGTTTTTGTATTTTTTAGTAGAGACGGGGTTTCACCGTGTTAGCTAGGATGGTCTCGATCTCCTGACCTCGTGATCCGCCCGTCTCGGCCTCCCAAAGTGCTGGGATTACAGGGTTGAGCCACCGCCCCCGGCCTAATGACTTTTTAAGTGTTGAAAAGACAATGTTTGATATATTGGGTCAAATAAAATAGGAAAATTTCATGTGGGTCTACTAGAAAAATAAATTACATATGTGGCTCACGTAATGTTTCTATTGAATGTTGCTGATCTATAGAAGTTCTTGTGTTGCCTGGACCCCCACAAATGGCACCCCATATAGCTTCTCCAAGTGGCCCTACCCCCAAATTATTTCACTGCTCACATGTTCTACCCAGTTCCCTCAGTGTATTTTCTGTTACAGCAGCCGTCTGGTGAGACCAGTCTGCACTAAGAGTAGACTCAGCACTAATACCTTTTACCTCAGAGGAGTCCCCTGTGGGGAGCCTGGCAGCTCATCTTTTTTTTCTTTTTTTTTTTTTTTTGAAAGAGGATCTCACTCTGTCGCCCAGGCTGGAGGGCAGTGGCACAATCATGGCCCACTGCAGCCTCAACCTCTGGGATTAAGCGATCCCCCTACCTCAGCTACCTCAGCCTCCCGAGTAGCTGGGACTATAGGAGAGCACTACCATGCCTGGCTAATTTTTTTATTTTTTATGGAGATGAGATCTCACCATGTTGCCCAGGCTGATCTTGAATTCCTGGACTCAAGTGATCCTCTTGCCTTGGTCTCCCAAAATGCTGGGATTACAGGCATGAGCCACTGCACCTGGCCCCAGCAGCTCATCCTTAACATGCTCTCACATTGGAAAGCTCCCATAGAGTCACCATCTCCATAGCACATCACAGTGTCACCTCTCGGGGGCCTCTTCAGCACCTTCCTTCCCAGACAGCAAAATGAGGGGCAGAGGCATTGATGTCCCTATGGCTAACTTCCTCTCTGAATCTTGCATCCCAAGTAGTTCCAATTTCATCATACGAAGTGGGTGTAGGGAGCTGAAGCATGTTGAAGGGCTGCCTCCCTTTCAGTCCAGTTGATGCCAGAGCCCTGGAGTTGGCTCTTGTTGTCGGAGACAGTTGGACCTGTACCCAGGAGTCTAAGGCTGTACGCCCTCCTGGCCCCAGAGTGGCCTCAACTTAGAAGACTCCATTTTCACAACAGTTTACAGACATTTGCATAAACTTCTCAGCACCCTGCCTGATGGTGATGCTTTATTTACATTTAATGTATGTGTATGTTAGATTGGTGGTATAATCAGACAGATCTTAAGCTATTGATCGTGTGACGTGGTGGTCAATTTGTACCTTTTTCAAAAATTAGAGGGGATTGGCTGGGTGCAGTGGCTCATGCCTGTAATCCCAGCACTTTGGGAGGCCGAGGCGGGCGAATCACAAGGTCAGGAGATCAAGACCATCCTGGCTAACACGGTGAA